ATGGATGTATGTATGTATGCGGCTAATCCCGTTTATTATCCTATTTAGCTTTCGGCATGGTCGCGAAAACATCTGCGGCGGACGGAACCGAGAACGGCGGTACGCATAAAAATAGCGCAAGTGCAAGATATTATCGGCGAAACTTGACTTTTATTACGAAAAATAGACGCGACTTGAACAGAATTCAACGCGCTGTGTATAACGTAACACTCCGATAACCCAATTAGAAGTTATCGCGCCATTTAACTCACGAGGACGGTACTCGCGCAAGAGAATCATCGGATTCTAGAGAGAACCGCGTTATTAGCGAAATACCGGGTTGTTACGCTGTTCAAACGAGATGATGATTTAATCTTTTTAAGTGATTGACTGTGGTTGTTGAAGGACGCCAAAATATGCTGTGCCAAGATGCAACATTGTTTTCGATATTTTATAGATTCTAAAGATTTGAGAAATTTGTATAAAGTACTCCTGCACAATATCTTGTTCTTCCTTTACAATTTTGCACTACAAATTATATAAAAAATGATATTTTGTTTTAATATATCGCAAATGAAAACTATATTTTTGGGCCACTTTGTTGTAATATCCTCCTTTTTTATAAAATTATCCCAATCTTCTTCAACGTGATCGTTACGAGTGCCGTTCTCAAGAAGCCATTATGATATCGATTTTTGCCGATCGCGAAACTCTCACTTGAACCGTATCAATAAACCAGCACATACATAGTGGCGGCCTGAATTTTGCGATCATATCAATCAGGAAATTGGCTGCTAATGTTCCACGATGTTGTGATCAGCTGTTAATATCGCGAGTACTCACCCAAGGGGTGCCACTGATTGTAGGGTGTTGTCCAAGTCTTGGGTGGAACTCGGAGTATAACGTTGCCCCGTTGCTGCACCATCCTGAACGAAGCAACATGCCAGGACGATCCAGGCTGCTAATAATAATGCAGACATCCTGCATAAAGGATTCGCAGCTTCCTGTCCCCGATCTGATTTCTCTTTCGATTGTTCTGGATTATCCTTTTAACTTGCAACTTTGATACTCGCGCATTTAACACGCATGATCCTTGATCGATCTCGAGGAATTTCTCCAAGTCGTTGCGATCATTCCACCGTCTACAAGGATATTCATATCCTTTATAACGTGTTGGGTTGTTATCCGTTATTAATTTTGATCTTTCTTTTCGAGTTCCGCAAACAGTTAACGATTTATACACAACCTGTGGTTTTTTTTATATAATTCTATGTGTATTTTCTTTAGGCCACCCGCTATTTTGCCGCGTGCATTCGCGCCGAGAAAGACAACACGCGATAATTCGCTTGTGACTGTGATGCCTTTCCGGAAGCGCCAAATTAGTACGATGAGATAGAAGCAACTATCTCTTGATATAAATATCCACGAGCAGAGTTTTGGCGAACAAGAGGCGAGAATTTACGATTATAATTTCGTACTGCCGCCGCGAGAATAATTTATCTGTGCGTTAAAATACTCTATAAATTTTATCCTAATTTTAAGGATACTTAATATTTTTTCTCTTATTAATTTAGAAATATTTTATAGGTTGTATGTGCCTCTTTATTCCAAGAACATCTGTTTAACATTCGTATATCTTTTATCACGCTAATCCTGTTATGTAATGATGCAACATCTGTAGTCTTTTTTGTGAAAAATAGGTAACAAATTATACCTGTTACTCGTTTTCGAGATAAAAAAGAAAGAGGCTTTAAGTGTTTTTTTCAAATTTACGGACCATGCGGCTTTCACTCGTTATCATAACGCAAAAGTTGAACTGACGAAGCCTATCATTAAAATTCTATAAACTTGCACGACTCTCGCGAAGAAAAGAAAAAGAAAAATTAGACTTGATTCGCACGTTTTATTAGGAGTGGATCGAAATCTCTCCGTTTGAATTTAAACCGTTTGAATCGACTATTGTTATCTATTTTAAAGAAAGAGGCATTCTTATCTGTTAGAAGGGATAACAATCTCTTCTCTTATTTGAGAGAATGAAATGTTTATCATGAAAAGTCGAAAAATCCCAGATTTTCATACCTGTGTTTATACCATCAGCAGTCTAGCATTATTCCATAACTAACACGAACCGCTCGTAAATATTCGCGCAAACAGATCTGCGACACACGCGTGGGCCGATCGACGATCGCACATATCGCAATTAATTGTGTCCGGCCTGATGATCTTCAACTTCGCGTGCGATCACGCGTAAACGAGCCGGCAGCCGCGATCAAAGATCACCGTCAAAAAATCGCTCGCTCGAGTCAGCACTCTTCAAGTCGTGTCTCACAATCCAATATCCTAGGTCCGCGCCGCGAATAATCTACGATATAATTGATGATATGGTAGCAAATATTTTCAATAAAAAATATTGTCTTTTCTATTAAGAGAAACGTGTGAAATCAGAAAAAAATTACGAATGGATCGTCTTATCCTAAAAAATTTGGAACTTCGAAGTTTATTGCTATCCGTAATGTTTCGACAATAGGAAGTAATGCGCGCCATTGGAATCGAAACACCACCGAAATATTAATGTGTTCTCTAAATTTAGTTTAGTTAATGTCAAGTCATTTAGCACAAACAATTTTAGTTGCGTTTTTGAGTCTACTAATAGAACTTAATCTATCGAAAATTGGCTTTATTAACGTATAATAAAAAAAGATGAAATTTTGTAAGACACATTTCTTCGTGGTGTTTCGATTTCGTTGAACAGTAGCGCATCGATGGAATATCCAAGAGGCAATAGCGCGTACAGGTTTCAATCAAAAGATCCACGTCACCAATCGAAAGTTAATATAAAAGATCCAATTCTTCGCGATCGCCGAACACCTTAGCGACTTCCGATTTTCTGACGGATCAGTGATGAGATCTTTTGGCCCGTTCAAGACAGATCGATCCTAAGGGAGACGGACCCCGAAAGGATGCGCCGCGGCGGGACTCGGCGCGAGACTGGAGCTGCAGATTGTGAACTCAAAGAGAGGACTCATCTGGGAGGACTCTCTCTCTCTCATTCTCTCTCCTCAACATCTTTGACCGTCCTTATCTACTGCTCTCTGCTTCTATCGGTCTCTCTTCTCTTCCTCTGGTCCACGGAACATGTCGATCTCCTTCTCTCCCTCTTTAAGTTAAGACGACGACGACGACGACGACGGGCCCAACCCTTCTACTTAGCTGTCAACACTACGCATGTGCGAAGACACGGACACGCACACGTGCGTACACTCTGAAAGGATGCACTTCGATGCTCGATCGATCAGTCGTGCGATTTGTGTAAAATTAGCGGAAGTCGAGTGATTAAATCTCTTTTGCTTGTGCCAATTTACTTGTCGGTATTAATTTGTTTCAACGATCCTCCTTGATGAGCTTGGTGCACGTTATTCAATCAATTGTAAGTCTTCTCTGTAAAGGAGAAAAATAAGATGTCGTGAGATAACAGTTTCTCAGAATTATTAATAATCTTTTGGAGAGATTTGGAGATAAAACGAGTATATTAAAAGAAATTTCGAGTGGAATCAAGAATCATGGATTATGTATCGGCTCGATCCTTTTCGTCGGCATTACGTAATCATCATTGTGGATGACCATACCCGGCGCAACCCTTTAGGGTCTTCATCTCGGATCTCGATGATGCGGGTGGGAACGTGACGACGAAGTGGCGTGCACAGGCACGCACGTGTACGAGTATGCAGAGGAAAGAAACCCCGAGAGCCGAGATATACCCAGCTAATAGGGACGCATAAAGCGTATCCGAGCGCGACTCGGTATGCCGGGATGACTCGCGCAAGTCGAGAGAGACCGAGAGATGCCTGATAAAACGCCTCGTAAAATCGCTCCCCACTCGCATTCTGCATCCACGGAATCTCTCAGCTCGTCTGCCTCTCGTAGCGATGATGCGTTTCGCACCCACGTGGGTTCAGCCGCTTGCTTTGTATTCGTAAATACAGATGCGATATACTGCGTCGATACATACGACAATTTTTCAATTTGCAATTCCACATTCTTATTATTGAGAAAGCGACTGTCTCGTCGTCAATGAGCTCTATAGCTGTCATTTATAATTTTGCAATAATTAATACCTACTGTATAATGAATCGTGTCATCATCTTTAATTGTCTGAATGCAAGTGACAAGGGGGATCGAAGAATGCAGTTTGCCGCACGTTGTTAGGCGGCTAGGGAAGAACTTTTAATTCGACTTTTCTTATGCGAATTCCTGACGGTAAACGAGGCATGTCAAGGACGCTGCTACTCGCTCCTCTCGGGTTATCCTGAAATCGAAAGCTTTTTTTCGGTATGCAAAGTAGAGATACTCACTTAAGTGGGTTCGAGACATCGTGTCGGACATCAGTGCATATACTATTTCACAATAGAAGGTCGTTTCACGAAGAATTGAAGTTATTTTCCAGTTATGCGTTCGAAAGTTGAATATCTGATACGGTACTCATCGTATCACGCTGCAAGTATACACACACTTGCATACGACGCTCGACGATGATCGTAATTCATTGCGCGACAGAGATTGTCTAACACAAACATAATCGACAGTGATTACTGGCTCGGCTGCCGTCGATCTCGAGTGCGGTAGCAGCTGCACCTGCAATCAACGCGTACGCTGCCGCGACGTACAACGCGTACGATAGATGGTTCGACTTATTTCAGTTAGGAAGTTGAACCGAGTGCGAGTTGTAAACTACTAACTGGCCGTGCTGTCAGAGCGTAAAAGCAAAGATGAAATCAACATTAAAGGAGACATTAAAATTCAGATTAGATCGGAGAGAAAATTGGCACTCAGGTCGAAATCGAGCTCCAAATTTGAGTGGAAATTGAAAGTTAATTTGGAGTTGAAGTTCCAGTCGAAAGTGTGAACCTATCAATGTTATTTTTCAACTTTTCTAGCTAAACTGGCAATGGTTTTTGCGATAGTGAGAATGTTACCGTACCAGCAGCTATTTATTGCGGACACTGTACATCTCGGAGCACTTAGTCTAGACCTCTCGCGTAGACGTCTTCTCTCGTAGTGCCATAATAATCTTACTAGACGCGTGGACTGGTCCCGAATGAAAAATGGGCGGGACGGATCGCTTTTATTTCTTTCTTGGATGATCAGAGAAGCATCATTAAAAGGTAGATCGTAGACAGTCATCAACGCGAAGCAAGTGTAGCTCTCGCGAGTACACAGCACTCTTGCTAAAGCAAGATCTTCGTAAGCAACTTTATAATATTTTACTAAACTTTGGTTGAAAAGACGTGAATCTCTTGCCTTGTTCTGATTAGTTCACAATTTAATTAATTCTCTTATTAATTATTACAATTATGTACGCTTTTCCTCACATTTTTAGACGTATTAATTAATAAGCAGAAACACACAAATTAATATATTTATCTACCACTCTAAGAAGGTTTTAATTTATCGTTTTGTTCTTCTCCTTGATTCTCGTTTTTGGAGATGTCGAAGTATCAATATAGACTTTCCTCGATTCGTAAGCATCATCCACCAGAGCTCTCCTCTTCCAAAAATTTTTTTCTTTCTTGTCAAACATCTTTGCGTATTTCCGAAGTTGTTCTTTCATCAATTTTGCTAAATGCTCCAAATAATAGGAGTAATTCTTTTGACTATCGATGATGTTGACGTTATGCTGATCTCTCAGTATCTGATAGTCGCTTTTCCTTCTCACGTAATAATTTGTCACGATCTCGTTTTTCGTCATGTATTTTGTCAGATCCAAAGGAGGTAGATGGTAAGATTCTGGTGGCTTCAGGGTTCTGCGTTGCTTCTCGTACGACCGACAAAATTCCATATCTTCTGTTTCTATTGTATCAGATACTTTCTCATTTTGTTCTGGCTCAAATACTATGGCTTCAATTTTCAAGGCGTGCATATTTAGGAAGGATTCTCGTAACTTTCTTCCACGTTCTGGTTGATTTGGATCCTTCGACCACCAGGACTCCTTCAGTTGTGCTATTTCTTGCTCTCTCCTCTTGTCTTGACAAATCTAATGAAAATACACATTTTGTGATACCGAATAATTAGTATTAAAGATAAAAATAACTTGCAAAAATTCACGTTTTTGTAAGTATCAACACTAAAAATTATATTAACTTTGTGGCTATCCACATTGCACTCGTCGACATGTTTTCTTACAAGCTTTTATAAATTAATACGTCTTTCAAAATTAACAATAATATATATTCCTTAATTAAATATATCCTTTAATTAACACACAAGTATATGATAAACTTTTGTATATACATACTTCTACTGCATTTTTAGCATTTGTAACAACTTGAAGAGTCCAATATGGCGACTCTAAAACTTGATTATTTACGGATTGTTTTGTGTTTTTCCTTGGCGTCACCAAATTGGATGCTGATATTTTATTTTCAGATTGTGTCTTTGTTTCAAACTTTTCTTTGTCCTTTATCTGACTCACGATAGTCCACTCGATATCCGTAAGAGGCCAGCTGTTGTTAAGCACAAATGCTTCCAAATAATAAAATTTCTTCTCTTTTATTGCAAACTCTTCATTAATGCTTGCATTTTCATCTTTGACTTCATAATAATTTTGAATCGCAGTGGGTTGATTTAAAATCACTAAAGGCAACAAGATCGTAGAACCACCATCCATGTTGATCAAAACATTTTCCTCTTCATCAGTAAGTTTCACTCTAACTTTTACCATGTCATAAGAAGTTGTCAATCTCATCGAGATAATGCTTCCCGACATTGCTTGTAAGATCCACCGCGAAATACAATTTCTAGCATTCGGCACGTATATAGCGGTCAGTTCTTCAACTACCAGATTAGGTGGTTTAGTTTTTAAGGACGGAATCCATTGTTCGCTCAGTTGATAGAATATCGGATCTCCTTTTATGGTGATGATATGAATTGTCCAATCGATCTCTTTGAAGAGCTGTTTGCCACTCCATCCATAAGCAAACACCGTATAACCGGTTGGATGATATCCATAACGACCTGGAGTCACACAGTTTATAATACGCGTCATTTCACGATAACTTTGGTTGTTGAAGACACGAAGTGTGAAGTGAGGAAGATCAACTAGTAATTCGAAAGCCGCGAACACTGTTTCGGAAGATCTAGGGTTCACGATCATTCTAGCAATTGGAAACCATTTGTCGTATTTGATGTTCTCTAAAATACCCTTAAATTCTTGAAAATGTAGAACATGTACAAAGTCCTTAGAACAAGGATATAAGTCACGCAGTTTGTCGTGACGTTTGATGACATTCCTTAGCAATTGACTTATTACGGATGAGTCAAGTAGATTGGATATTTCCAAAAGTTTCTCGCGAATTTGCGTGTGTTGAGCGTGATCGGAATTATGAAGGTACTTATATTGTTTTATAAGAGCCATTTTGAAGAAGGATTGAATTTTCGAGGCTGCTTGGTCCAATATTTCTCTGTCTGGTTTATGAAAATATGGTATTTTTGACATTTGTTCTGTTATAAGATCCTGAAAGTCACTCTGAGTTCGTACCAAGTCGAAATATTCTAGTCTAATATTTGGATTCAGGAAGAACACTCTCATTGAATTAAGAATGCTTTTATGTTCTTTACTAGGGAAGATTTCCATGATCAATCGAACTTGTTCTTCCATGAAGGAATTATGTATTAGTATTCGAAGAAACTTTATGTCATCTTCTGAAGTAACATTTTGTAAATTGGGCATATAGCTTTGGTAATAGTTTTTTAACAGTATCGAGTAGTCTTCATTCCCAAATGATTGATAGGCTTTACGAAGACTGTCGCTGATTATCTCCGACATTTGTTTTATTCTATGCGATTCTGTGGTCATCAATTGCTGCACAGTTGCCTTATTTCCAAGATGAAAAGCTGTGTCAGAAGAGATAATCACTAAGCTGAACTTCGGACTGCCGTCAATTCGCAAAAGTTGTCTGCCAGCTTCCATTTCTACGACGGTTGACTTGATACCGGTAGTGTAGATAGTCACTAACTGATTCGATTGATTCGCCTCGAAGAACCAATTGTGCTTTTCCAGAGTGAGATAATCCCTCTTGCGTGAATTTGTATTCTTCTTGTTCGGTGCACCGCAAAGACTAATGAGGAAGAATTTCTTCTCCAGAGAATCGCAGAATAAATACAAAGGTTTGTATCTGGATTTCTGAACCTTGTAGGACCTGTCGGTGTTGTCTGCAAGGTTTCAAATAGAAGAGAGAAGACTTTTATAATTGGAGATACGTAGATGATATCTTATTGAAGTATAAGTACGGAATACCTTTTTTCTCTTCTTTGCTCTCATTCGTGCCTGTTGCTTTGCGATCTTTGTTGTTCAATTTGATCATTTCATTTGTTATTTGAGCTGAGCATTGAAAGTACTCCAGTTTATAAAACAGATGCACTTTCGTTACGTACGGTGCCATTTTATTGAAGTCGATCCATCGACTAATGTCACCAGTTTCCTCATTTTTCGTCGTGGTACACGAATTTCCTTCTTTCTGAGACTTAGTTTTCCACTTAACATTATTAAACTGTTTGATCTTATCCGGAAGAATTGAATTGTTTTTGACATTGTCGTAAACGTAAGTAGGTCTTTCGTTGTACTTTTGCAGAGGACTAATCACTCTCAAGTAACGAATTGGGACAAAGTAATCAGCAGGATCAATTATACCCTGTGAAATGGCCCATTTTAACCAGCGATGCAGTTTCCACTTTTCCAACGGTGGTTTTACCTTAGGACGTGATTTAATTTTGAGTCAATCACAAAATTCAGACAAGAGATATGTTTGAAGAACTGTATAAATATGTAAAAATACATTTTAATACTTTTTTTTTCTTACTGATATTCATGTTTGATTTATATATTTCTTAGGTTTTTATCTCACGCAGAGTTATTTTATTCTTAAAGAAGAAAAATAATGAAATCCAGGATTTGTGTTTGCGACTCATTCTTACGTCTTTGGGATTTAGAGGAATATCGCGTGATTGGACAACATGGATTACGTGATCCCAACAAGGCGATAGACCGGGTACCACATCATTTCCGAGTTCTCGCATGTCATGCAACTGCAGAAACAGCGTGATCGGTTGAGATTTCCCGACTTGGGCGAGTAACCGCAGAGTTTCGTTTGATTTCGTATTGTTTGTAACACTTTCGGAGCTTTTTACTTAGAAATGCAAATAGACGTAACATCATATTAAACAAAGTGTCGGTAACTAAGTTTGTATGAGTAAATCTATCCGACATATACAGACCTGGAACGTGATTCTCAACAGTTCGTGGTGACCACATAAAATGATCAGAATACTTGGTCAGGAAGTCCCATTTATCTTGCCACGATAAATGGGCGATGTTTAGTGTCAAGCAGGTCCAACCTGTTATCATTAAACTTAGGTTATATAAAAGTATAGAATTTTCGCCAGCAGTAGTAGTAAATAGTAATGGTAAGTAACACACAGCAGTAGTAGGTAAATAAAATTAATAAAAGTTATAAAATAAAGTTTGGAGGAACAAATCTCTTTTAAAAGGTAAATGAGAGAAAATATAGTGAGAAGTAAGATTATAAAATGATGAAGGACATGTTATATCTACCTGTTAAACAAGAAATTAAATGAAAATCAATGATTTCGCGATGTTCGGTCCAAGTCAATGAGCTAATTTTGAGCAATGCTTTGGCAAGAAGCATCGGCCATAGCTCTGTGGCGTTGGAAGTGCGTGGCAAAAGTGGTGTGCCGTTTTGATCGACGGGGATAGTGTCGTCTACCACAATGCGGCGCCAACATCCTATGTGATGTAATCTTACGATGTACTTCCCTAAAAAATATTGTCGCGCATTGTTCGTTACGTTGATCGAGGTCACGGATCTCCAAAGCTATATATTAATCGATTTAATTACGGTGAAGGAAAATAGATTTAACAGATTTTCGATGCAGCTCGAGGCCAATAAGGCTTAACAATTTTTCTGTGAGCTAAAAAAAGATTAAAAGAAATGTTTTATAAAATTTAATACAATATATTTACCGTTCGGATTTATCATGGGTCGATGTTGGGCGTCTTTTCCAGCCTTGTTTAAAGAATATACATGCATCCAACCATGCCAGGGCTCATGGCGACTGATCCAGACAAAATTCGGATTCTCTCCACTGATTTCTAACCCTTCTCGGCCGCAATATTGCAGGTTTATCAGTGCAGAAATGAACCATCTCATAAACTAAAAATTCCTATTATTATCATTGTTTCTCTTATTTATTCTTATTTGTAGTACTTTGTAGCAATTTGCAGTCTGATAAATCTTGCACAGAATAAAATAAATACCTCACTATGCAACAAATGCTTATTGTTTGAGATTAAATCAAGATGTTTGCTGTTCGATGCGTACACCGTCAAAGGATCCTAGAGTGTGTGTTTCCATGTTTGCAAACAATACATTATTAATCTAACTTAAACTGTTTAAATTCAGAGAATACAACAGATTAATTTACATCAACATACTATCTGAAGCGCATAATTAAAATAGCAATAAAATTACGGTCATATACTCTAAATCCTTCGCTCGTAACCACTTAGAAGGCTCCAAAGACCTAGGCATCCTGACAGATTCCGCATCCAGAAATAACTCATCTGTAGAAGTTTCCCATTTTTCGTTGTTTAGATCGAAATCTTTCCATTTCGGCCACAACGTATTCACAGCGTAATGATGATTAGTTTCAGCAGTAAAGAATTTTTTCGATCTGTCCGACATGTTGCGGAAAATATCTTAAAAGGAAAGAAAGGCGATATATTCAGAGGACAAAGGTATCTCTAGAGGGTGGCAAGTTGAATGTTAAACACCTATTTTGGAAAAAGTATACATTTATTGATCTTCTGTATATTATACATTATTATATGGACAGAATGGAATGTATTTATATTTCCGCATAGAGTCGCAAAATAAAAATAACAATTTGATTAGTACAGAGAACCTATGTCATTAATATTTAGCGTAACGAGAGTTTCATGAAAAGTATGATCTAAAAAGTAATCATAATCTAAAATATCCTAGAAAATAATGGTAAATCTTCTAGGAAAAATCTACGATCAGCGTAATTTATTTGTCATTTAATTGTCTCAGCGATATTCTGGCTCTTTGATTGAAGAAATCAAAGCTATTTATGTATATATACAATTTATCGTAATTATATAATGTCATAACAATATTTAGTAAAAGATACTCAGCAACCTATTCGGTAATTAGTATATATTTCTATTCTTGCACTCTTGTTGAACTAATTTTCAACTTATTTCTCATGTATATTATCGATAGTTCTTTCTTTTTAGCGTAAATAACAGCGTCGTTGCAGTTAAGTTCGTCGCTAAGTCAACACCTGAATCGTGACGGAATTAAATGTTTGATCATTAGAACAGACAGCACGCCATAGTTACATCCTCCATGTTTGTACATTATTTAATTGGCTAATCAGCTAGATTTAGGTCCGCAAATGAGTCATTTGTTAGCAATTTAATAAATGCATCGTTATGTCACGAAAAGTTAAATTTCTCGAAAACTTGTCGTAACTAGTTAAGGTAAAATGAGGAAGTACTTTGCACAGAGAAAAGGCTATCTTGATAATTTTCTAAGTGTGGAGAGGATGAATGCGATGACGTGTAACACTTTGCCAACTTCAAACAGCATCAGCCACGGTCTTCGTCAATAGGTCTGTTCTTTCGCTCTGCATTGCTACATTGGTGCAATAAGTTAGAGTGAAACAAATATATATTTGTCTCATTCTAACTTGTCGCAGCAGTGCAGAGTGAAAGAACAGATCTATTACGATATTTTGTTACGATAAGAACGAAGTTTTGCAGAAACAATATTGATCACATGGCAACGACAATACAGATTCATTCAATAGGCTTCCCCCATTCCTTTTTTGCTCTTTTACAGTGTCCTGCGTATCAAGAATCTTTGGCACTGATATTCGTTTTACGGATACTTTCTTTCCTCTCTCTCTCTTTCTCTCTCTCTCTCTCTCTCTCTCTCTCTCTCTCTCTCTCTCTCTCTCATCTACTATATAATATCTACACGTAATATTCTTTAAAAAAATAATCCCACTTTTTCTCGTGGAAAAGTAAATTGAAGTATGCACCAAAAAATATATATATATGTATATATATGTATAAAATAATAAAAATACGCTCTTGTGAAAGAACGCGGAAGTAAATATTAAGGGGTCTTCAGCATGTCTACTACGAACAAACTGTCTGAAAAGAATTCACATTCTCGAATTGGCAGTGTTTGTAAAACATGTTCTGCATGCGCAATTATAGCTCTGCACGAAACAGATATTATGATGTTCTTGATGTAATACTAATCACGATGCGCTACAACTACTGGCATGTCACATAAATCACGAAGTCGTCAGTCTGCAAAGATTTGCACTATTCACTTAACAATCGCGACTCATCTACGATTGACAAACAACTTATTTATCGAACGTAGCTCGCGTGTCTACCAAATCACTCAATAGTAGTAATTCATTTGATCGAATAGCCAAAAGACCTAACGGCAGTTATTATTACTAGACGGACAATGAAAGAGTTGTTCATTATCGCATTGTTCCGTGATGTTTTCGCACGACTCTGTGTGCTCTAGTTTTGAAATGCTACGCTAATTCTCGCCGTATGAATTCTTGAATAATAAGTCACTTAACTGGTCTGAGCGAGCGATCGCCAATCAGACGACGAAATGAACGCGCCGCGCTACAGAGAATTCACGCAGAGACTTGGACTTCGCCCGCACATGCGAGCATCGCTCGACTTTCGGTCGCTCGCTTAGATTCACTGTAGGATATTTTCAATTGTAAACACACTTTCCGCATACGTCACTATTCTCTTAGGTGTATAAGTTATTTGTGTTTAATATTAGTTTACTTTTATCGACCGCGCGTCGTTAGATTTGTGTTAGAGCGATTGCCTGAATGAATGGCGCAAAACAGCTGGACGAGCGAGGCGCGGAAGAGAGTCCCGTTACGAGAGTATGTGATTGTTTCCTTTAAATACGTATATTTCTACAAAAACTTGGAGGATTCCGAAAGGTTTCATTTACCCAGTCACCCTTGTTTTCTAAGGATTTCCACTCATCCTGACGATAACGCGATGCCTTACGCTATTATAAGTGATTCATTATTAAAGAATCTACACGGTATAGCATGTTAGTGCTCCAACGACTGACTTCTAGGGATCGGTCTTGGAATATTGAGAGTATCAATATTCTGAATATTACGAGAATATCATTTGTCCTCCACTGTAGATATAACAGTCTACATAAATATACAATTAAGTTTAATCCGAACGGAATCGAAGACCTGAGTGCAAAAACCAGCTCATTCTTCTAGTAATTCTTATATTTAAGGCAGAGAAAGAGAGGAAAAGATAGCAAAAGAGATATTTCTTGACATTTTCTAATATCTTTTTATATTTTCTAATATATTTGTATGTTCGTATTAGAGCAACTGACAAAAACAGAATTAATTCGATCTTTTTCGAGTCATCATTTTCACAAGTATTGTTCTGATTTTATTGACTTTCCTGCAACACCTAAGAGAGTATTCTTGCTTTCTGTGTAATGCTTCTTGACCATGATTCTTGCAATCAGGTATTTCGAGTCGGCATCGCCTGCTCGAAAGAGAACCCGCGCTGCGCGCGCGCCGGAACCAAATTGTAGTAACCGTTCATATAATTCCAGCCTTTGATTTTCTATCAAGTAATCGAGAAAATAGCATCGCGATGATGAGTGAACGGTGAGAAAATCGGTCAAGGGTAGTCGAGAGTAAATAAGGCGAAGGAATTCGATTAATGGAACGTATCATGATGACTTATCATTAAGTCACTGTTTGCTGGAAGTCTAACACGCCTTGCCGGGACCGAAAGCTCTTTGATCCTCCATTCGTCCGGCTTGAAGTCTTTGGATTAGGGCGAAAAGATCCTCTTCGGGCACGGTGGAGCCTGATTGAGCGTTTCCGTTGGTCCTTCGACCTCTTTCCTCCTCGGCGTCTTGCAATGTTGATGCGGCTGGCAGAGGACTTCGTTGATCCTCCAAACGTGAACTCTAAAATTCGCAGTGTTTTGCACTCGTGTTTTGTTCTCTTTTCAGTAGGAGTCGCGCGACGTGCTTTAGTGTGTGATAATGCAGTGGTTTTGCGCGTACCTGGCACTTGACAAGCATCTCGATGAAAGAATCGTCTGCGTCCTGATTGGTATTCAGTCCTGGCAGGTAAGGTAATGTCACTCGTTGCTCGTCCATCCGCTTGCTTTGCATCCCGGCGATTAATTCTAGTAAATCTTCTCCGTCTCTGCAAAATAACATTGCCAAGTGTCCGTTAGTTCTAAAAGTAAAACACAATATGTTGTGGACAATCGTCCCTTTGAATATTTCCACATACTTGTCCTCTATATCGGACGTTTCCGGCGAGATCGTCCGGTATTTTGGGTTGTGCTTCGTGTTAAGCGCGCAACGTTGATCGTCCATTCTGCCCGACTGAAAGCGAGACAGCAGATCGAAGAAATTGTCTTCTTCCTTCTGTTGCGACGCGACATTGCCGCCTTTGTGCAGCATGTCTTCCGATTGATCTTTTTGCTTGGTGTCAGGTGTGAGCTAATCAAACAACAGATAGTCGATTAGATTTATTTAGTGAGAGAAATAAAAAGAAAATAATCGTGAACCTCACGGTATCTTGAAACTGAAGAAGATTTGTACAAACCTTGATGAGATCTAGATTGTCCATACTTTGCCGCCTGAGTCTGTACCTGCAGGGTGTGGCCGTTGAGACGTTCGATGTTGCGTTCGCGGCGACTTTCTGTTGCGTGTTGAGATTCTCTTTGTTGCTCTCTTGTTGGCTCTTCTCTAGGCCGAGGATCTTCTGCAGGTCATCGACGTTCATCTGTGCGGTGGCCTGTCCCATTTGATCCTCCAGTTCCTTCGAGATGTGCAGATGCAGATTCGCGTAGTGCAATGCTTTCTCGTGATTACCCATCGCGGCGTACGCGTTGCCCAGCGACCAACAAGCGCGTCCTTCGCCGACGCGGTCCTTGAGTTGCTGGGCTATGCTCAAGTGCCACAAATGGTACTCGATAGCCGCCGGATAGTCGCGTAGAAGAGTGTATGTATTGCCCAAGGAATAGCATGCTTGCGCCTCCACCTCGCGATCGCCCAACTCTTGTGCGAGGACTAAAGTTCTCCTGGAAATTAATCGAGATCTTTATTGGCAATTATATGAGTGTCGCGAATTAAACATCGTGCTGTAAACTGTAATCGATAATTATCATTAACACGACATACTTAAGCCAATAAAACTATAAAATTTACTTGTAGTGCTGCGCGGCTTTCTCGAACTCGCCTAGGAATATGTGTGAATTTCCTAGATTGCTATTGGCTCTTCTTTCGGCCGGTTTATCGCCAAAGTCCCTGGCGATTTTTAATCGTTCATTGTGATAATAAATGGCCTGCTGGAAGTCGCCCAATAAGTAAAACGTATTGCCCAAGTTACCACACGCTCTACCTTGTGCCGCGGAATCTTCCAGTTCTCTCATCAACTCTAGATTGTCTCTGTGTGACAGAAAAAAGTGTCATTGTGCTTGGTATGTGAGTTTCCAACGTAGATAGGACACATTTAATAGGTAATTAGAGGCATTTAAGAGTTGGATAAGCTCTTACTCGTAATAACGCACAGCCTGTTGCAAACATTGTCGAACATCCTCGGGGAACTCTCCGGGATCCTGATGACCTATCCTACTTGCCTGTTTACCCTTAGCGTGATACACATTTCCTAGATTGTAAAGGGCTCTTCCTTCACTGAGCTGCACAAAATGATAAATTTATAAGTGACAAAGATATTCTTAAAATAAATCGAAATTGAGAGAAATTGTTTCCAAAGAAATTATGTAAGATTTAATTAAAATTAATAAGAATATTATGTAAGATTTAATTAAAATTAATAAGAAATTATGTAAGATTTAATTAAAATTAATAAGAATAATACAGATTTGATTAGAATCAATAAGAATAATCGATTGATTCTCGTAAAGAATATAATTCCAAATTTTGAAGGATTTTTTATATTTCTTTTATTATATATAAATTTATCGGCGAGATATACCTTATCCCCGATCTCTCTCGATATCTCCAGATGCCTTTTGCAGCATATCATGGCTTCGTCGAATTTGCCCATAACTTTCAACGTGTTTCCCAAATTTCCGCTAGACTTAGCTTCACCTAATTTGTCGCCCATGTTTCTGGCGAGCGTTAGGTCTAACTTGTGATATTGCATCGCCTTGACGTAGTCACCCAGGTAAAAGTACGCGTTGCCCAATTGACTGTAAATCGCGCTTAACGTCCGCAAATCGTCTGTGCCAGCCTGGATCGCGGCCTGGAAAAACGCCACGCCGGACTTGCAGTCGCCGGCCTTGCACAGGCGTTCGCCCTCCAGCGCTAATTCCAGGCACATATTCCATCTCTCGCTATTCTGGTACATAGTAAAAATATATTGAAATATTATTTCGAGCATAGAACAAATGTTTAGTTAAATATTATCATAGACTTGTTACAACATGGAGATAGATGTGTAATAATTATATCAGAAGAAAGTTAGACTAAATTAAATTTGAGTTGGAACAATTTCAGATACTTATTTGAAAAAGGCATCAAACGTTTAATCATATTTAATAGTTAATTAAAATGGTTTTTTTTTCATACTTAATAGTTAATAATATAAAAATTCTGATTTGCTTGAATTTTTTTGTATGTTTTAAATATATAAGTGAAATATACAAAGCAAATAAACCTCTATTTCTATCTTGTATTATAAGCGTGTAAACCACCACAAGAAAGAGATTCAATTAATCAAAAATAAAAGGCAGGATATCGTGTAATAAAAGAAAGGATATCGAGTATGGATATGACATTTTATCGTTTATTGACTGCAGAGAGAGAGAGAGAGAGAGAGAGAGAGAGAGAGAGAGAGAGAGAGAGAGAGAGAGAGAGAGAGA